AATGCAGGAATGATGCATTCCCCCAAGCATCCCAATCTTGGTTTGTTTTAACTTGGGTTCTTTTCAGGCTTTTGGTGAATTGGATGAATGTTTTTTTTTTTCTTTCTTTGCCTGGTTTTGCTATTCTGCCATGCCACAAAACGGTTTATAGTTTTAGTAACCAGGCTAAACGTGTTGTGTGGATCCACCCCATGGTTTGCTGGCATAGGGAGCTTACCTGTTCTCCTTGGAACATTTTGGGTCCCTTCCTTGCTTTCTCTTTTTGGGGTCCTTCCTTAATCCCACTAATGTTTGAGGTGTGAACTGGGCCATTTGATGATACTTACCTATTTTGGGGTGATAGATGAGCCCAGCTTCCTGTTTTGGTCAATAAACCATCTTTAAAATAAATTGGTTCATCCCCATCAGCTGCAAAATCAGATCTCAGGCTTACCTCTTGGGTACCTCCAAGAATCAAGATTAAAATTCCAAACACAGTTTTTACCAAGTTGCTCTTTGGTTTAAAAAGCATAATTTGGGTGTTTGTGTCTCTGTGTGTTTTAAGCAGTTTTTTTTAATTAAGAAAGCAGGTGGTTAATTGCACTGCTCTACAAATTGGGGATTGAAGGTTAAAGTTATTTATGGTTGATGTGATCAAGACACATGAAGAACCCAACAGCTGTTGAATTAGCCAGGCCTCTTCACAGTTCCCACATTAAGAAAATAATAATAATAATCACAGATGAATTAATGGGATTTTAGAAGTAGGGACCACAATTTTATCCAATGCGGGTGGAGTTTGTGGTTTATTTAATAGTAATAAATTATAATTTGGTGTATTATGTATGGTAAATGTTGACATGTGTATGTATGTATGTATGTGTATACTATTTAAATTGCAGTGGATCTTCTGTTTAAATTGCAGTGGATCTTCTATTTAAATTGCAGTGGATCTATTTAAATTGCAGTAGATCTTCTATTTAAATTGCAGTAGATCTTGTATTTTTATACATTCTTTCTTTGGGTCTTGGTTTTGTATTAATGCAAGTTATCTGATATCGTTTGGAAAAATAACTAAAATATTATTGAAAAAAAATTAACCAGGATTTTTGTAACCAAGGCCAATAGTGTATTCTTCCATTTTACAAATGTGTGTTTTAAGTGCAGGGGTTTCCTCCCATTGACCAGCAAGCTACTTTCTCCCAATACAGTCCTTGTCTTATGACCACAACCGAGGCCAAAATTTCTGTCTTTCAAAGTGAGTCATTTGTTAAGCGAGTTTTGCCTCATTTTACGACCTTTCTTCCCAATGTTGCTAAGTGAATTGATGCAGTTCAAGCCCGGTCGTTATGTGAATCCGGTTGACTTTGCTTCCTAGAAGGTCGCAAAAAGTGACACATCCGTCCTAAATATGAGTCAGTGGCCAAGCCTCTGAATTTTGATTGCTTGGCCACAGGGATGGTGCAATGGTCGTAAGTGTGAAAAAAAATGATCCTACGTCACTTTTTTTTCCAGTGATGTAATTTCGGTCACTAAAAAAATTGTTGTAAGTTGAGAACTGCCGCCTGTAAGCTCCTTTTCCAACTTGCTGCCAATGGCAAAAACTGGGTAAAATTGGGGTGAGCAAGATTTCCTTAGAGATCACCCATAAAATCAGGAAAGGGGGAAACGAAGGAAGGATATTTTTTTTTTTCACTTCAGGAAAAAAAGTTACCTGTAACATCTTCCCAGCCTCCTTTTCTAGTTGGCCTAAATATTTTTATTATTTTTATTTTGGGGTGCTGCTTGGAAGCTGCCCTGGATCTGGTGCCATCTTGGCAATGTCTGGTTTCACTTAAAAAAAAAAAAAAGGAACTTTTTGGTTTTTTTTTTTTTTAGTTTCTGTTTTCCTCAGCTGGTTCCGTTTCTGGGAAATGTGTGTGACAGTGTGACATCAGTGTAGCAAAAAAAAAAAATTGTTGGTGTGATGCAAATCACAGCTGGTCAAAAATGGAGCCTTTGCTGGGGTCTCCCAAGATCTCCCAATGTTCAATCTAAAGGTAGTGTTTTTTCCCCCAAGTTTGGCAGCTTTAAGATGGGTGGACTTCAACTCCCAGAATTCCTCAGCCAGCCATGGGGAATTCTGGGAGTTGAAGTCCACCCATCTTAAAGTCGCTCCCGGTCGGTGGAGAAACATCGATTTCAGATTTACAGATGAATAGAATTAGAAGGGGCCTTGTAGGTCATCTAGTCCCACCCACCGCCCAAACAGGGGACCCTACTCGATTTCTGACAAATGGCAGTCCAGTCTCTTCTTGAAAGCCTCCAGGGATGAAGCTCCCACAACTTCCAAAGGCAAGTCGTTCCATTGAATATAGAATAAAAGAGTTGGAAGGGACCTTGTAGGTCATCTAGTCCAGCCCCCCGCCCAAGCGGGAGACCCTACACCATTTCTGACAGATGGGCAGTCCAGTCTCTTCTTGAATGCTTCCAGGGATGGAGCTCCCACTACTTCTGAATAACACAATAATAACAGACTAAAAGATTTGGAAGGGACCTTGTAGGTCATCTAGTCCACCCCCCCCCCATCCAAGCAGGAGGTCCTACACCATTTCTGACAAATGGCAGTCCAATCTCTTCTTGAATCTGGAAAGTCGCCCTAATTCATCATCATTGATCATAACGAATAATCAATAATAGCCGTGCATTATATTCAGGTATTCTCCTTTATTCTTTTATTTCTGCAGGATAAATATTATGATTATTCGGTGTCCTTTTCCTGCTCTTCTTTCTATGGCACGTCGAGGGAGTTCGGCTGAATTTGTGTCGAATCAGTTTGACAAATGGGAAACCTTTAGAGAAGCTTGATCAAAACCGATCGATCGATTGGTCCTGGCATACTTGAATAAGGTAAATTCTGGTTTTTCGAGTCTTGAAAAGGTAACTTCTAAAGTGGCTTGGCACAGCGAGTACTTGATTTATGACCACAGACAGCTAAGCAATTATTGCACATTAATAAAATGTCAAACCCTCAGCCAAAGTTTACATCCTCAAGCTTAGCTTGTCAAATTGAGAGAAAAAAAATGGGACTTTTGTTTTTTTTTTAAAGCAAGGCATTGGTGAGTTTTAGCCCATTTTTTATTTTATTTTTTGTTTAAAAATAAATTTTATTGAATATAAACATTAAAAACAGTGAATGTGGTGTCTCTTCTTTGACATACATTTCTATCCAAACAGTCAACTTTGCCCTTCCTCCTTTCTGAGAAAATCATAAATAAAATGGGGTTGAAGCCCTGATGGGGACACCCGGAGTTTGCAAATTACAAAATTGACCTTGTAACATGTTCTTGCCTTGGTCACTTCCTCAAAAGCAAGACCTTGCTGACTCATTTGGGCAGGGAAGAAATAACCCCTGAAGCATGGGTTTTTATTTATTTATATATATATTTGTCACATCATCTGTAACAAAGGTTGACTGGAGGCGGCTTTCACCAACCACTTCGGCCTTATAAAGGCGTTAAAACATAAAGATTTATCATCTTTGAATTCCTATGTTTAAAAACAACAGATACCAGATAATCAGAGTTGGAAGAGACCTTGTAGGTCATCTAGTCCAACCCCCCCCCCAAGCGGGAGACCTTACACCATTTCTGACAGGTGGCAGTCCAGTCTCTTCTTGAAAGCCTCCAGGGATGAAGCTCCCACAACTTCTGAAGGCAACTTCCGTTCTATGGGTTGATTGTTCTCCCAGTCAGGAAATTCTTCCTTATTTCCAGGTTGAATCTCTCCTGGATCAGTTTCCATCCATCATTCCTTGTCTTGCCTTCCGGTGCCCAAACCAGCAGAATCCCACCCCTGATCAGACTTCAAACAATGAATTTTCTCCTCCTTTTTTCCCCTCCGTATACAGACAGAGCTCCTTCCTCCGATCTTCTGTCTCTCTCGATCCTTTTGCTGGCTGCTTTTGAACCCTTCGCTCCATCGTCTCCGCCTGAAACCCTCCCGAGCCTCTCACCATGGTTGGATTCAAGCCCTCCGACGTCCCTCCAACGGCGACCGTCAAGTTCTTGGGTGCCGGGACGGCGGCCTGCATCGCCGACCTGATCACCTTCCCTCTGGACACGGCAAAAGTCCGGTTACAGGTCAGCGCCTGGTGATGCCCTCCACTGTTGGCTCTCCAAAGAGTGGAGTGGAGTAGAAGAAGGATGGGTGGAGAAGAGAAGAAGGAGATAGGATAGGATAGGATAGGATAGGATAGGATAGGATAGGATAGGATAGGGGAAGGGTAGGGTGAAGTGGAGAGGAGGAGAGGAGGAGAGAGTGGGGAGGGAAGAATAGAGGAGAGGAGAGAGGGAAGGAGAGGAGAGAGGAGAGGAGAGAGAGAAGGGAAGGAAAGGAGGGGAGAGTAAGACCTTAGTAAGACCACACCTAGAGTACTGCATCCAGTTTTGGTCACCACATTATAAAAAAGATGTTGAGACTCTAGAAAGAGTGCAGAGAAGAGCAACCAGGATGATTAGGGGACTGGAGGCTAAAACATACACGAATGGTTGCAGGAACTGGGCCTGGCTAGTCGAGTGAAGAGAAGGACCAGGGGAGACAGGATAGCGGTCTTCCAATATTTGAGGGGCTGCCACAGAGAGGAGGAAGGGGTCAAGCTATTTTCCAAGGCACCCGAAGGCCAGACAAGGAATAATAATGGATGGAAACTGAACAAGGAGAGATTTTTCAACCTAGAAATAAGGAGAAACTTTCTGACAGTGAGGACAATCAACCAATGGAACAGAAGTCGCCTTCGGAAGTTGTGGGAGCTTCATCACTTGAGACTTTCAAGAAGAGATTGAACTGCCATTTGTCAGAAATGGTGTAGGGTCTCCCGCTTGGGCGGGGGGTTGGACTAGATGACCTACAAGGTCCCTTCCAACTCTGATTATCTGTAATCTGAGAGAGAGAAGGGGAGGAGAGGAGAGGGGAGAGGAGAGAGGGAAGGGAAGCAAGGGAGAGGAGAAAAGAGAGGAGAGGGAAGGAGAGGGAAGAAGAGAGTAGAGTAGGGGGAGAGGAGAGGGAAGGGAAGGAGGAGAGAAGGGAAGAATAGGGGAGAGGAGAGAGGGAAGGATAGGGAAGAAGAGAGTAATATAGGGGAGAGAGGAGAGAAGAGAGGGAAGGGAAGGAGAGGAGAGGAGAGAGGGAAGGGAAGGAGAGGAGAGGAGAGAAGGAAAGGATAGGGAAGAGGAGAGTAGAATAGGGAGAAGAGGAGAGTAGAAAAACAAAGGAAGGAAAACATAAGCTCTCACTGTACATATAAGCAACAAGTGATAAATCATGATCATAATCATGAAATGCATTAATCATAAGATATAGCACTTGGTGATAGGATACCAAATAAGCAATCCACATAAATCATACCAGGATACTAAATAAAACAATATAAACCATAAGATACAAGCCACAAAATTAGAGCCATTAGAAGCTAAGGAAATAGGTAATAGGAAAGACAAGAAGGATAATACAGAAGTAATACAGCCCTACTCGGTGGTTTGACAGTGTTGGGGGAATTAGTTGTTTAGCCGAGTGATGGCATTTGCTAGAAGCCAGGATTAACCTCAGGGGCCAACTAGGTTTGGCCTCCTCCAAACATCTTCAGGAGGCATCAGGTGGGAGAAGGCTTAAAGCTAGCTGGGAAATTCTTGGATCAGGTCATGTCAGTGGCAGACCATCATGGTGTCTTACGAATGGCTAAAGTTGGTAACTTTATGGTTTGCCAGACCTCCAGGTAGTCCTTGAGTTATGACCATCATTGAACCTAACGTTTCTGTGGCTAAGTAAAATATTCGCTAAGTAAGTTTTGCCCCATTTTAGGACCTTTCTCGGCTCCGTTGTTAAGGTGAATCCCTGCAGTGTCAGGATTCCGGCAGTTGCCCTCATTAAATTCGGGAGCCTCAAGCCAAGCTTCAAAAACTTCGAGGGATTTATGAGGAGCGAACTTGTCAGCACGACCTGGAGGAAGCTGATTCTGAGACACCGTGATTCACTATCACCTATGACCCCTTTTCACCCTTCTGGGTGGATCCTAATTCATATTCTCCAATGAGACACATTCATAGCCAAGAGTCCTCAATCACATTCTCCAATGAGAGATTTGCAAGGCAGAAATATTCCAGTAGCTGAGTTATCATCTTTGCAAGATACAAATGGAATGCACTTTCAGTTCCAAACCGCTGCAGTGCTCTTTCAAGTTTCTTTCCACCACCCTTTCTGTTCACGGCAACTCTAAAACAGGCACAGTTAAGTTACTAACACGGTTGTGAAGTGAATCCGGCTTCTTCCCCTGGAGTTTGCTGGTTAGAAGGTCGCAAAAGGGGAACACGTGAGCCCCTGGTCCTTACTTGAGGACTCCTCCTCCTCTGGTTGAGAAGGTTGCTAGTTGGACACTCCTGTCCGCAAAGGGATCAAGATTGAGAAATTAGCCCCAAATCTCAATCTTGTGGCCCTTTGAGAAACCACACCTAATTACAGTTTTTCATTTTCTTAAAGGTACAGTTTTAAAATGTTTATCCTGGTTTATATATTTCTAACCCAAATACCTGTTAGGTGACTTATATTCCTAACATCCTCCTTTATGTCTTATGGGAGGGGTAATCATCTCCTAGCCTTAGCTCCTTTTGTCTCAGCTGCTCTTCTAGCAGCTCTGTGCGTACGCACACTGAGAACAGGCTCCCGCTGCTCCTCTGCCTCGCTGCTGCCATACTCCAGAGGCTCCGGAGGCTCCGGAGTCAGCACACAATTCTCAGATGGTCCTGGCTCCATCTTTGCATCGGATGTAGGAACCTCGTCCGAGTCCTCTCCAGACCCCCGGACTGGTCCCTGTTCTTCCCCACTGTCCGTTTCCGCTGCCGTCTGCACAGGCTGCGGACCACAACAACTTGGATTAAATCCACTTTGGGGCACCCGTTGTCCTTCACACGTCAGGGGTGCTCCATTCACCTGAGGTTTTCAAGAAAAGATTGGAGAACTGTTTTGTCTACCACAGGGGTGGGATTCTCCTGCTTGATCAGGGGGCTGGACTAGAAGACCTCCAAGGTTCCTCGCAACCCTCTAGTCTTATCCTTCCTCCATTTCTCTCTCTTGTTCAGATCCAAGGAGAGAAGAAATCCCACGTCGCCCCCAAAACAGCACAGTACAGGGGGGTCTTTGGCACCATGGCCACGATGGTGAAGAACGAGGGTCCCAAGAGCCTCTACAACGGGTTGGTGGCCGGTCTCCAGCGCCAGATGAGCTTTGCCTCGGTCCGGATCGGCCTCTACGACTCGGTGAAACACTTCTACACCAAAGGCTCGGAGCGTAAGTTGGCACCGGGCCCCAGAAGCCCGGTGGGGCAGGCAGGTTTCCCTCCCAAGTCCAGTTTGGGAAGGCAAGTAGTTCTTGACGTACAACTACAATGGAGCATAAAATAGAAGGTTGAAAAGCGAGAGTGTTGTTCAGGGAGTTTGGTCTCATTTTACGACCTTTTTGCTGTTGTTAAGTGAACCACCACAATTGTTAAGTGAATCTGGCTTCCCAATTGACTTTGCAAGTAGCTCTTGACTCACAACTGCAAATTGAGCACAAAAAGTAAGGTTGATAAATGAGACTATGGTCAAGTGAGTTTGGTCTTGTTTTACGACATTTTTGCCATCGTTGTTAAGTGAATCACCGCAATTGTTAAGTGAATCTGGCTTCCCCATTGACTTTGCCAGTCAGAAGGTCACAAAAAGGGTTTACCTGACCCCTGGGACATTGCAACCGTCATAAATACAAGTCAGTTGCCGAGTGTCCGAATTTTGATCATGTGACTCTGGGGATGCTATGGTGGTCGTAAGTGTGAGAAAAGGTCACCAGCCCCCTTTTTTTCACTGCCACTGTCACTTCAAATGGCCGCTAAATGAACTGTCGTAAGTTGAGGGCTTCCTGTAGTAAAATTTGGCCAGGGTATTCTTCCGTTCTCAGTCTTCCTTGCTGGAACAATGGGTTCATTTCTGGTTTAACGGTGCTACTGGGCTGCTAGTGAATTGCTCTCTCTCTCTCGCTCTCTTCCTGACTTTGGCAGATGCCGGCGTGGGTAGCCGGCTCCTTGCCGGTTGCACCACAGGGGCGATGGCGGTGATGGTGGCCCAGCCCACGGACGTGGTCAAAGTGCGATTCCAGGCCCAGATCCGGACAGATGCTGGCCGGCGCTACCAAGGCACTTTGCATGCCTACAAGACCATTGCCAAGGAAGAAGGGGTCCGGGGCTTGTGGAAAGGTGAGTGAGGGGCAAAGACCAGGACCTTCCCCCGGCCTTATACCAGGAACTCCCGCCCCAATCTTGTGTAAGCCATCTCCATTTGGGGCTCAAATTGTTCTGAGCAAAGCTTCCTGAGACCGTAATTAATCACATCTTTAGTCCAAACACTCTTGTTTTATTTCAACGCTGGGAATTATGTTCATTCCCAGCCCTAATGAGTCCCAAATAGTTCCTCGAGATAAGCACCTACCTTTCTCTCCTTTGAATTGCTGCCAACAACTAAAGGGCCAAATTAACTGGAAAGAGCCAACCGAAGTACAAAGTCCACACAGAGCTTCAAGGTTTAATCCGAACAGAGTGAACAGCGTTGCTTCCTGCAAAGGCTCCTGTCCCTTTGCTCCTCCTCTATGTCCTACGGGAGGGCCCAATCACCTCCCAGCCTTACTCCCGAGTCGCCCCTTTTGTCTTAACTGTTCTTGCCTTCTGGCAGCTCTGAGGAAGCGCGCACTGGGAACAGGCTCCCACTGTTCCTCTGCCTCACTGCTGTCAGATTCTGAAGGCTCCGGAGTCAGCACATAACTCCCAGATGGCCCTGGCCCCATCCCTGCATCGGATGCGACACCCCCCTCCAAGTGGCCTCAGTGACCCTCTCAAAGGATGCAAATGACCAGCTGTCTGCAAGGAGTATCAATCCTTCCCTTCCCCACCTTCCAGTCAGAGCTGAGGAAGCTTCTTGGATGAGAAGCAACATTTCTTCAAAAGAAAAAAACCCAGAAAAGTCCAGTTGCCTCCTGAAAAAAACAAAACAAAACACTTTTGGGACAATTGTGACCTGAATGATGGGGAAATCTCTACAGACTTTGAGCCATTGACCGAACACTCTGCACATGGCCTGTTGAATCTCTGCAAGGAAGGATGCCGCCTTCCTCTTTTTTCACAACCTCTGTCATGCCCTTGTTGGAGTCCGACTCTGACGGGGAGATTGAGCAGCTGACAGGGAGTGGGAGTGTGGCTCCGGTGGCTGTGGAAGAAACGGGGGAAGGGCACAGGCCGGCTGGGCATTCAGAGGCTATCCACTCTTCATCCTAGGGCACGCAGGGAGGAACGGAGAAGGGAGCAACATGGCTTACGGGAGAAGAAAAGGCCCTGATCCCTTTCATTAGTTGCAGCTGGGAGAACAGAATATAAGAAGGGCGTTTGCACACAGCTCCTTGCTGGAAGCAAAGCGTGCATTATCTGTGTGGAGGCTTATCTGGGTTTTGGCTTCCTCCCAACTGTGGGTGCTGCGTTATCCTTTGAAAGTCTGCAATTTATCATCCTGGCCTGTCGTGTTAATGACTGCAGTGTGGTTTGTGTTTTTTTTTAAAAAAAATTTCTAATTATCTTTACTTTGGGTCCGGACTGCATTTCTTTCCTTCGTAGACTGTTTTTGGAAGAGTTTGATCTCCAGCCGAGGATAATTGGACATTTGGGCCTAGTTGGAGGCATTAAAGGGAATTTATTCTACTTTGGTGACTGTTATTTTTGTGTCACATCCCTTTGGGTCATCACAACCCCCCCTTTTTTTTTCCTCTCACACAATTAGGGACGCTGCCCAACGTATCCCGAAACGCCATTGTGAATTGTGCCGAACTGGTGACCTATGACATCATCAAAGATTCCCTCCTCAAATCCCGTCTCATGACAGGTGAGAAAGATAGACTGCACTGAGCTGGCGCCGTGCTGTTCTTTTCGTGGGAATGCAGCTGGAAAGGAGGGCGGGGGTGCATGTGCACAGGTAGTCCTCGATCTACAGCCGTTCATTCAGCGTCCGTTGGAAGTTAGAACGGCACCGGAAAAACGGACGTCCAACTGGTCCTCGCACTTGTGACCGTGGTCACGCTTCCCGGGGGGGAGTCACATGATCAAAATTCAGCCGCTTGGCAAGTGGCTCGTATTTATGACGGTCGCAGTGTCCCTGTGGTTTTGGGACCTCCTGACCAGCAATGGGGGGAAGTCAGATTCACCGAATAACCTTTTAAACTAATTTTACCACGGCAGGGATTTGGCTTAACGACGGGGGGGCAAAAAAGGTCGTAAAAATGTAGTGAAACTCACTTAACGATGGAAATTCAGCGCATCGGGAGGGCCGTTTATATCCCAGTCATGTGCTCCGGCCCTCTTTGTGTCCCTTCCTGCAGACGACATCCCCTGCCACTTCCTCTCCGCCTTCGGGGCCGGCTTCTGCACCACCGTCATAGCCTCTCCAGTTGACGTGGTGAAAACCAGGTACATGAACTCTCCTCCCGGCCAGTACAGGAACGCTGGAGGATGCGCCCTCAGGATGCTCCGGGATGAAGGACCTCTGTCTTTCTACAAGGGGTGAGTCAGCTGCCGTCTCGGGGCTTTGAACTCAGCAAGAGTTCCCCATTCTTCGCTCTGGATGTTATCCAAGTTATATTTAAGACTAGCTCGATGCCCGTTCTTCGCTACGAAACTCTGTGGTTGGGCTTAGTTTTTGGGAGGAAAATAAGGGAGGAAAAAATTCTGCCTCTGCCTACCAGCATCCATCGGTATCCATCTGGCTAGCGTCCTGTCAGTGTGTGAGAGAGTTGAGGGCTGTTTGGAAACTGAAGCAGTATTTGCTGTGTGAGCAAGAAGGAGACAGCAAGGAGCCTGGGCGTGGCTTAGCTCAACTGTTCTGTACTAAAGCTGCTTGGTGCTCTGAAACTGAAACTGAAATTCTTCTCCTCTGCTCGTGTTTTGCATTAGGAGCACATTTCCTTTCAGGTGGGGAGGGGGAGTAGAACTCCTTAGCATCAGAGCGTGTTAATAACAACAATAATAATAATATAGGAAATACTCTCAATGCTCTGATGGTCGTTTCGAAAAATCCTTTCTTAGTGAGCCCCTAGAAGCCAAGAGGAACATATGGGCCAAATTTCAAGTTTGTAGGCTTTACAGTTCTGGAGATTTTGTGATGATGCGTGAGGGGTATTTCGCTTATATATATATATATTTTTAACCAGGGGGTGGTAGCAATTAATTTGATGAATTTGGCAGGTATCTCTCTATTCCATTTTTTTAATTTCATTTCCCAGAACACTGTTAAAATGGGAGAGAAATTGGCTGGCTGGGGGATTCTGGGAGTTGAAATCCACCCGCCGTCTTAAATCATCGTACTCATTTCCCTGAGCAAATATTTTCCTTTTTCCCCCCCCCCTCCCGCGTAGCTTTACACCCTCCTTCCTTCGGCTGGGATCCTGGAACGTGGTGATGTTTGTGACTTACGAACAGCTGAAGCGTGCACTGATGGCTGCTCGGGCATCGTGGGGGACGCCATCCTGAGCCGACCGGCGAGGCACAGTTTAAACGTTTGCTCCCATCCTATCAGTCTGTTTTCCTCCGTTTTCTGCTCGTTTCTAAAACTCCGTGGATTTCCCCGTTTTAAAATGTTAGAATGGTTTTAATTTTTACACGTCTCGGCCTGGCTATAGCTGCTGATTCAGGATCTGCAGATATTCCTGCTGTCTTTTTCTTTTTTTTTTTTAAAGTAATTTATCTTTGCTGGACCACAGTCCAATCCTCCATTTTTAATTCCTGCTATTTGGAAGAGGATGTTGTTGTTTTTTTAAACACGCTGGAGTATTGAGTACCGCTTATCTTACACAACGTTACCTGAAGCCTGTCTTACTTCCCTCCTAACCTGCTTGCACACCCCTCTTAAACACAAAGGGGGTGAATTTTATTCCACTGTCTTGCACCCTCGACTTCAAGCCGTCCTCAAAGGCCATCCCATTAATTGTAAATTTAATGTTCCCCTTTTTGCCAAATTGGGAAAGAAGCAACTTTCCCGAGCCGGCTGGAATCCTAGATGTCTTTTTTTTTTTTTTTTAAATGGCAACCTTCTCCAAATTGCTGGCATTTGGGGGAAGGGGCTGCAGTGGGTTCGAGACCCTCTCCTGCTTGGCTTGTAAGCACCTTACTCGCATTACAAAGCCCGAGAATTTGCTGAGAAGCTCGAATCCAGATTTTCCGCACGTTTAAAAACTATCGTCCTTTGGCTGCAAATTTGGCGAAGAAAGAAAAATGGCACTTAAAAAAAGCTTTTTTTCCGTTAGGCGAGCCTGCTGTGAAATTATTTATGATGTTGCGTTGATTTTTTTAAAGCAAAAGAAAAAAAAAAACGCACGCTACGAATGTCACATCTTTTTCTTTTTTTTAAATAAAGCTCAAGCAGAAAAGCATCTGGTTTTGTTGTCTGTCATCGTCTCTTAGAGCAGAAGCCAATCTGGGTTTTGTGTGTGTGTGTGTGTGTGTGTCGGTGTGGGTGTGACACAATTTTGTTCCTTGTTGTGACCTTTCTTGTGGCGTCTGTGAGGTAAAGAGATGGTTTCATGGCCTTGGCCAAGTTTGCAAGATGTGGCTGCTACCGGTAGTCCTCAACTTACAACCCTAGTGGAGCCTTTTGCCGTTAAGCGAGACCTTTGCTAAGTGAGTTTTTGCCCTGTTTTATAACTTACTAGCCGATAACCAGACGTTGCCCAGGTATTTATTATTTATCCTAATCCTGTATTAGACAGGAAAAGCCTCTGTTTCGGCAATCCGGAATAACGCAATTTCTAATGTTGGGTTTTTCCCCCCACGTTACCAGAGAGATTCCCCTTGTGGAGTAATGTGAAGCCGTTACCATGGCAACTCCACAGCGCTGTACAGTAGAAGCCATTTGAAGGCAGTACGGTAGAAGCCATTTGAAGGCACAATAGGCTGTATCTTAAGAACACACACCCCCGAGGGGTGTTAAGAGGTGTCTTACCCCCGTAGTATTTGTTTCCAAGAGGGTAAGTAATCTGTGTACCAAGTTTGGTTGAAATTGCTTGAGGCGTTCCAGATTTATGCTGGAACACATACATACATACATACATACATACATACATACATACATACATACATACATACAATACATAAAGAAGAAGATAGAAGAAAAGGAAGAGGAGGAGGAAGGAAGAATGGAGGAGGAGGAGGAGAAGAAGAAAGAGGGGGAGGAGGAAGGAGGGGGAGGGGGAGGAAGAGAAGAAGAGGAAGGGGAGGAGGAAGAGGAAGAGGAAGAGGAGGAGATCTTGCAGGAGTTGTTAAGGGAATCCCTGCAGTGGTTAATAATGTGGTTGTTAAGTAAATCCGGCTTCCCTGTTGACTTTACTCATCAGAAGGTCATAAACGAGGATCACATGACCCCCCTGGGATGCTACCACCATCATAAGTACATGCCAGTTGCCAAGCATCTGGATTTCGATCACGTGACCATGGGGGGGAACGCTGCAACTTTTCACACTTTTCACAAGTGTGAAAAGCGGTCATAAGTTTGCTTTTTCGGCGCTGTTCGTCACTTGGGAGCAGTTGCTTGACAAACGGTGGCTAAGTCTGTAGTTGGGACACCTAGGAGAAAGCGATTGGTAGGCAGCCTCCCTGCCTTTATCTGGCAAATGGCATGAAGTCACTGGGAGTGAGCTGGTCTAAAAGGAAATTTTGTCCTCCTTCGTTGGGTTGGGGGGATTTTTTTTTGGGGGGGGGGGAGAACCACAAACACATTCACAAGTACTACATTCTTGGGACCCTAGCCTATAAAATTAGTCTTGCTAACACTGCAGGAGAACGGGGTGTGTGTGTGTGTGTGTGTCTCTTCTACGCCCCCTTTTGAGGTCCTTTCAAAGTCACCTTGGGAATTGGAGCATCTGACAAAGTCAAGTCAGAATCAAAATAGAGCCGGAAGGGACCTTGGAGGTCTTCTAGTCCAGCCCCCTGCTGAAGCAGGAAACCATATGCCATTTAAGGCAGGGGGCAGTGCTGTCTCTTCTTAAGAACCTCCAGTGATGAAACAGCCACAACTTCTGGTGGCAAGCTGTAATTCTCCTCACGGTTAGGAAATTCCTCCTTAATTCTAGGTTGCTTCTCTCCTCGATTAGTTTCCATCAGTTGCTTCTTTTCCTGCCCTCAGGTGCTTTGGAGAATAGCTTGACTGCCTCTTCTTTAGGGCAGCCCCTCAAATACTGGGATATTGCTGTCATGTCCTCCCTGGTCCTTCTTTTCATTAAACGAGACCTACCCTATATAAAGGGAATACCGGAAGAGGACCTCCAAGGTCATCTACTCCAACCCCCTGCTGCTCAAGAAGGAGACAATCATTTCAGACAAGCTTAAAAACCTCCAGTGATGGAACAGCCACAGCTTTGGGTGGCAAGCTGTTCCACGGGTTAATGGTCCTGACAGGAAATTTCTCTTTCATGAGCTGTGGTGGTGCAGCGGTTAGAATACAGTACTCCAACTACTACTTCCGGCTGCTGGCTGCAGTTCAGCAGTTCGAATCTCACCAGGCTCAAGGTTGACTCGGCCTTCCGTCCCTCCGAGGTGGGTAAAATGAGGACCCAGATTGTTGGGGGGCAAGAGGCTGATTCTGTAAACTGCTCAGAGTAGGCCGTAAAGCACTGTAAAGCGGTATATTAGTCTAAGGGCTATTGCTACTCCTTCCTTCCCTCCCTCCCTCCCTCCCACCTTCCTTTTTTCCTCCCTCATTCTTCTTCCTTCCTTCCTCTTCCCCCATTCTCCTTTTTTCCTTCCTTCCCACCTTCTTCTTTCCCCATTCTCCTTCCTCCCTTCCTTCCTCATTCTTCTTCCCTTCCTCTTCCCCCATTCTCTTTCCTTCTTTCCTTTCTTTCTACTTTCTTCTTCCCCCATTCTCCTTCCTTCCTTCCTTCCTCATTCTTCTTCCTTCCTTCCTCTTCCCCCATTCTCCTTCTTTCCTTCCTTCCTACCTTCTTCTTCCCCCATTCTTCCTTCCTTCCTTCCTTCCTTCCTTCCTTCCTTCCTTCCTTCCTCATTCTTCTTCCCTTCCTCTTCCCCATTCTTTCCTTCTTTCCTTTCTTCCTACTTTCTTCTTCCTCCATTCTCCTTCCTTCCTTCCTCATTCTTCTTCCTTCCCTCTTCCCCCATTCTCCTTCCTTCCTTCTTTCCTTTTCCCATTCTTCTTCCTTCTTTCCTTCCTTCTTCCCCATTCCCCTTCCTTTCTTCCTCTTCCCCATTCTTCTTCCTTCTTTCCTTCCTTCTTCCCCATTCCCCTTCCTTTCATCCTCTTCCCCATTCTTCTTCTTTCCTTCCTTCCTTCTTCCCCATTCCCCTTCCTTTCTTTCTCTTCCCCCATTCCCCTCCCTCCCTCCCTTCCATGTTGGCACAGTGGTTGAGAATGTAGTATAGCAGGCTAACTCTGCCCACTGTCAACAGTTCTATCCTGGCTCCAGGTTGACTCAGCCTTCCCTCCTTCCAAGGTGGGTAAAATGAGGACCCAGATTGTTGGGGGGGGGGGGCGCAGAGGCTGACTCTTAAGAGGGGGCTGGAAAGCACTATGAAGCGGTATATAAGTCTAAGGGCTATTTTTATTGCTATTAATTCCAGGTTGCTTCTCTCCATGGTTAGTTTCCATCCTTCGCTTCCTGTCCTGCCTTCAGGCGCTTTGGAGAATATTTTGACCCTTCTTCTTCTTTGCAAAAATGACAAATATGTTTCGTGTTCTTTTTTTAAACGGTAAAACTTTCATAAAATTTATTTAAAAAAAAAAGAAAGGAAACATTTTAATTTATTTCCAAAAATGAGGTGGGGGGGGGGGAGAGCGTCTGGGGGTGTCCCCCGGCGATGGTCTTCACATCAGGAGGGCCTCCCGCACCAGCGACTTCTTGGTTGGGGTCAGCCTGGCTGGGAAGACAATGTCGAAGTACATGTAGAGGTCTCCCTTGCTGGTGGGGTCTTGGGGAAGGGGCATCCCCTCGTGGGGAACCACTTTGAGGTACTTTGGGCTGTCAAAGGAAGAAGGAGAGTGTTGTAGCTTGGCAGCTGGCAGCCCCTCCAGCAGCTGAATCAGAGGAGGAGGAAGAGGAGGCATCGTGGGAGTTGGAGTCAGCGTCAGAGCACCCGGGAGCTCCGAGGGGGGAAGAGGGCAGGGAGCTGGCAGAGAGACAGAGGCGGAGCCTGGGCCGTCCGTCAGCCCTCGGATGGAGAGTCAACAGCCCCCAGACCCGGAGGTGGCTGATGAGGAAGAGGAGGAACAGCTGAGTCCAGTGCCTGATGCACAGAAGACATGGGAGAGGAGAGCAGTGGAAATCTATGGGCCGGTTCTTGGGACGGGAGCTTTGAGGGGGAATGAAACGAGAGAGAGAGAGAGAGGGAGGGGGAGGGAAGGAGAGAGAGGGGGGAAGCCTGGGCCATCCATCAGCCCTCAGATGGGGAGTCAACAGCCCCCAGACCTGGAGGTGGCTGATGCGGAAGAGGAGGAACAGCCGGGCCCAGTGCCTGACGCATGGATGCACAGAAGGCAGAGGAGAGGAGAGCAGTGGAAATCTATGGGCCGGTCCTTGGGACAGAAGAGCCACCACTCTTCCCACACTAGCTCTGGGGATACAAGGCAGAGGGCGGAGATGAATAGATGTGGCAGACAACTCTGTTCTTCTGTGCAGGGCAACCAAAGAAGATCCAGCTGATCAGCTGGGACTCGACGGG